GAAAACCTTTAGTCTCTAATGTTGACCTCCATAATTCAAGTTTACTTTCAACTAGGGGTGTCAATATTTGACACGACATGAAAACCCGACCCAGACACGACCAGGAAAATCCGGGTTGGACCCAACCCGATTTCAAAACGAGTCGGGTTCGGGTTCCCGGATTCGACAGGTTTGAAAAATGGGTCGGGTTCGGGTTGCCCCGGCGGGTTGCCGGGTCAACCCGGAAACTCGTTTGAAGCCCTGCCCGCGTCGCTGCCTGAGACGACCTCGCCCGCATCGCACCGCGCGCACCGCTCGTCCGCGTGCACCGCGCGCTCGCATCGCTGCCCACGACCGCCTCGCTCGCTTGTGACCGCATCGCTCGCCCACGTTGCACCGCACACCCCTCGCGAACCTACCAGCGCGAACCTGCCCCGCGCTCACAAGCCTTCCCGGGTCGGGTCGGGTCAACCCGGCAACCCGCAGGGTCGGGTTCGGGTTCGCATTTCCGACCCGTTTACCTATCCGGGTCAGGTTAGGGTCGACCCGTTTGAACCCGGGTCAGTTCCGGGTCCAACCCGAACCCGACCCGTGACCTGAAATTGACACCCCTACTTAAAAGGTTCTTCTCGCAAGCATTGAGATGAGATATCAGCATACCTTTAATTATGATTGAATGATACCTTCCCAATCTCATTATGTGTTATGTGTTAATATAAACCCCTATCATTCATGAACTCAAGTCACCTACATCACAACTATAAAGTTGCATCGTTCATTGTCATAAAGTAGTATCCTTCGTCAACATAAAGTTGCATCTCTCATTAATATTAAGAGTGCACATGCATTAGGCATGGATCATAACATTGCTTGTGCCTGAAGTGTCGCCTCCAAACTTGCGTATACAATCTTTCTTGCTTTATCAACTTTGACTCTAGAATTGTATTACAACTTTGCTTATGCTACATACCTACTTGTATTACACTCGTCGCCTCAAAATCCATTTCATAATCTTGTGTCATGAACATCA